AGCCCGGATCACTTCTGCATGACAATTGATGGGAGGGAGGGCGCGAGGCGAGGAGGGAGGACGGCTGCGGTGTCCGTTTTCTCACCATGGTGATTAGGCATTCCGGCCGCGCGAGGAGGCAGCCGCCGACCAGAGCGGCGCGGCGTGGAGCGAGGACAGGGGAAGAGAGCGAGAGCGGGAGCGGGAGCGAGCCCAGCCGCCGGGCGGGCGGCGGGCGAGCGGCGCGATGAGCCAAGCCAAGCCAGGCCAGATGGCTCTGCAGCCATCAGGGACTGCTCCCGTCCAGCCCGGCCCCACTTTAGCTGTGCAAACATTTCTTTATCCCAACAAGACAATTAAACCCAGCAGCATGAAAAGGAGTCTCCATGACTGTGCTGGGAGTGAACAACCAGAAACAACCACACATCACAGGAGTTCTTGCCCTCCATCCCCAGAGGGAGGAGAAAGGGGGCTCCAGGAGAAATCCGGGAGCAGCTGAGCGATAACTGGGCTAGGTCTGGGCAGTCAGTACGGAGGGAACCATCTGACCCATCTCCTCTGGTGATGCATTGGCCCTTTCACGGTGGTCATCTGCTCCAGCTACAATCCAGAAGTTGAGCCTGGTGACCTGACAACTGTCCCAAACATTTTCCCCAGCAAGAGCAATTCTCCTAAAAGCCCAGGTTAGGGTCCCCGGCCACTCCAGTCCCAGAGTCCTTGGGAAGTATCCCCCTTAATACCACCCCCATGATGTAGCTGGGACTCCTCATTCCAGGCTGCCCTTGGGCTTATGTGGGCTCAGCTGATCTGATTGTTAGGACACAGGGTCTTCGAGGATACATGCCTTTATAAAGACACATTCTCCCCCCGAGTACAAAATACCATCTCCTACTCAGGGCTTTTCGGGCCCAAGAATGACTTTTCAAATACATCAAAGATAAGAGCAAAGCAGAACATCCAGGAACTGCTGTGAGCCACCCCGTTTCCTGCCTACCTGTGAATCTGCCTGACACAGGCAAGGGGCAAGGAAACAGGGCCACTCTAGGGTCAATGCCCAGTGCTCATCCCTGAGATGAATCAGAAGGCAGGGCCAGTCATTGCTCCAACTGGGGCAGTTCTTGTTCCTCTTAGCCCTTTGGTGAACATGCATATAGCCAACTCCAATTTGGGCTGACTGAGTGGAATGACTGGCAGGCTGCCCCCCCCCCAAAAAAACTCAAAAACAAAACAGAAAAAAGCCAAAACCAAAAACCTGTGTCACCCAGGCAGGAATCTGGGCCCAGGGGTGGCCAAGAGAGAACAACAAGGAAATGCACATGATAAGAGCCAGGGTGCTAAGGGGGTAATAAATGTATAGATTCTAGCACAAGGCAGCAGACAATACTTATCTTCCCTTTTGTTGTAAAGTTTCCTTAATGAGGAGATGTTTATTTTAAAAGCCCTGGGAAACATATCTGTAGACACTTCATATATATGTAAGACACACGTGGACTATTCGTAATTGGTCCATAAATTTTAGCATCATTTCCCTGGACAAGAAGCCTTGGAGACTGGTTCAGGGAGTGACAATAAACAGGAGTTACCTCAGTTCCCTTCCTGGGGAATTACGCATCCTCCATGAACGGCTTCTCACAAAACACTTCTCCTTTTCTCCAGGGCAAATAAGTCAGTCCTGTTGAGTAAAGCCTTCTTTTTTCCATAGAACCCAACACCTACCTCACGAATCACCTGTGATGCCAGGTAGGTGAACAGGCAAGAACTGGAAATCATCTACTAGGAGAGACAATACTTTACCCAAATAGCTACATTTTGGTCTACAAAAATGCATATTTAATTACAAAAGAAATCCTGCCTATCAGCACCCAGATTTAAGGAAAGAACACGTGTGCATTACACCATGTCTGCAGGCCCCTCTTTCAAATGCTCTCACATGTGGACATATCTGCATATGGATGCAGTGTGCGAGCAGGGGGTGGCTGCGACAGTAAAAATTGTCAGTGTTTCCATTGTAAAACTGATTTTTCATTGACCTAAAACTCAGTCATAAGTAAAGGACACACACACACACCCATACTCAGCCCCCCACCCCCCCAAAAAACCCCTAAAGCTAAGTGCCTATTTAGGAGTTTTACTGTTGTAGTTAATTAAACCATTTTTTTTTTTACATTTTATGAGAAAAATTTATTTATATGAAGAGAACTGAAAAATAAGTCAACCACATCAGAAATTAACTCTAAATTTTAAGAATAAAAAAAACTAGAATATACATGGTTAATTTTGGAAATCTGACCAAAAGCCACTGCATCCTATTACTTTGCTCTTTTGAACACTTTCTATCCTCTCTTCTGGCCTCCCCACCCCCCTCACTGCCCCATCTGCCCCTTAAGCTCTCCCTTTGGAAGCAGTCTTGTACACTGTCACTCGATTATCTGAGAAATATTACTTATTTCAAAACAGTTCTGTAGGGAGGACCTGAAAGGCATCTAGTGGGAATAATCAGGCCTTCTAACGGCCCTTAAATATGTATTTACATAAAACAGACCATAAATATTCCAACACACGTCGGCATATGACAGGAGCCAAGAAAGCTGCTGCAGACTTTGTCACAGTGCCTCTTCAACCCTTCCCCACAGGAAAATGTTTCTCCCGCCTTCCAAAAACTCAAAATCAAAAGCACAAATGCTACCCAGCACAGCCCTGGGAAGGCTGCTCTGCCACCTAAGAAAAGGAGGAAGGAGCCCAGATCCAGGGCTATCACAGCCTAAGAGGCTCCTCTTCACTTTGCACCTTTGTTTCTTGTTAAAGATTAGTCACAAATGCAACTCTAGATAATAATGTGGTTGTGCAAAACGTCCTACACTCACAGACACGCCTCTAGGTTTTATGTTTGGGTAAGAGAAAAAAGAGGAGACAAAGTACTCTCTAAAGAAAAATATTTTAAGCAAATAAAAGGGGAAAGGGTTCCAATTTCTATAACACTACAATTTGAAATAAAGAAGTTTCCCCACTCTTCTGATCAGAATCTCATTAATTTCAAGGTCAGAACTCCATTTCACTTTGGGAGATGGACTCATTTAATTTTTCTCCACCCAGGCGTATTCCTGTGTGAGGGATCCATCTCCATGGGGGATGGCACCACCACACAATGCAAACCAGGCAAACAGAAGAGTTATGGCTTTGACACTCAGAGGGGGAATGGATAGACACATCTATGAGTTCTGACTTGACTAACAAGCTTCCTCCTGCTCTGGGGCTCTGACCCAGGTTTGGGCTAAAAAGAGAGAAAAATGGAGACCAGCCGGATCTGTTGGGTGAGAAGAAAGGAATCTTGATCTCCAGATGTTACTTTGCAACACCGTTAGGTTTGAGAGGATTGCATCTTCAACTTGTATTTGGAGCAAAAAGGGGCAGAATCTGTCGTACTCTCACCCGGGCCAGCTTTAGCCAGAGGTCAGATTACAGCTTGCCTTGATCACTTGCACACTGACAAATGAAAACTGCACTAAAGTAAAACGCAACAGATCCAACCCAACGCCAGTGTCTTCAGCAGGTATACCCGGAAAGCAAGATGGTAATGCACACGTCCGCTGTCCAGAAGGAGAGGCAGAGGAAGAAGAGCCCAGGCAAAGTAAGAGAACACACGGGCACTCGTGCTGGCAGCTTGTCCCTGAAGTGGGGAGGTCTCGGGCTTATAGACGCTGACATAAAAGACACACTTGCAACATATTTCAAAACCAAAGAGCGATGGATTTACAAGGCAGGTTGATTTTATGATGACTTTTATTGAAAAGGTACGCTGGGTTTAGGCAGATGCCTTTTAGCGCAGGAAAGTTAACACAGTGCCTAATTCAAGGAGACAGCCTGAGGAAGCAGCGCCGACAGGGGAGAGAGTGGCAATGTCTCTATTACTCTCCTCGGCATCATAAAGAGAAGAGAAAAAAAAATGGTATTCGTGTTGGTGGTTATGGAGAGGACAGGAGCACAGAAAAATAGAGAAGGGGGAAAGCAAACCTCAGATGTAGTTTTCTTAAGAAAATAAAATAAAGCAAATCTTAGAACAAAGGGTTGGGTGGAAAAACACCCTCAGTTCATAAATTCTCACCAGGCTTGAAGAAAACTGCTCTGCCTACCCATAGCCCAAAAGCGTTAGAACACAATTATTTTCTGATTCTATTAGAGGAGAAGATTGCAGGGTTCAGCACTCCTGGTCTACAAGTTCCAAATAAAGGTTTAATTCCAACTATTAGCGAGGGTCGCCAAAGCTCAACGAGGCACTGAAAGAACATGAGAAAACTGTTCCATAAGCAGAAATTAATAATTGTTGTGAACATCAAATATGGAGCAGTCACACAGGTCAACCGTGTCTAGTCCTAAAAGTGAGCCCCAGGATAAGCATCCAGCAAACCTGTTAAATCCCAAGAGAAGTCGGCGTTCTAGCCTTGCGATCGCAAGGAAAACACACAGCTGTTTGAAATGCTTTATGGTGATTGACGACACCTTTGTCCTTCTCTGAAAAATAGCCTCATGTGGACAAGGGCTGAGAGTTGGGAAAATAAAATCACGTGGAGTCCCCTGGATGTGATACAATGGAAAAGCTAAAAAAAAAAATGCTCAGAGAAATATAATGAGGATAGCAAAGAGAGGAGGCATGGATGAGTTTCTTCAGGCCCCCCCAAATTTCCTAGGAACCTACGCTTTCTAATAAAATGACATTCACTTCAGTATATATATATGGCACCCTTCTTCACTCCAGAATCCCCAGAGAATAAGCCAATCATGCCCCAGGGAGAGGCAGCGTGGAGTCCAACTTGCTTCTGGCTACCTTCAGAAAAACATGTCCTCCCGGAACTGTCAATGCTCATCGACAAGAGACAAGTAAATGTTAGCACTCTGCAGCCATCGAGTGGGAAGTACCTGGCCCTCCCCATTCCTAGGAGCATGAAAACTGCCAGCGACCTGTTGAACACTACCGTGAGGCAGGGTTTGCTGGGGGTAGGGAAGGCTCACACCAAAGTACTTACATCTGTCATTCCGATCCTCTGGGCTAGAAGAGGCTTCCCGATCCGAAATGAGGCCAGAGACAGCAAAAATCTTCTTCCCAGTATCGTCAACCTTAAGTGAACCAGGGGAGCTAGATGGCAGCTGTGTCCCAAAGTCATATTCCTTGCCATCTGCATCTGAGAAGCGCAAGTGGGGAGACTCTGTGTCATGGCAGTTCTTAAGTCGCTTGGCCGGCGTAAAGGCTGACTGATAACTCTCCCGGTCCTCAGTGGAAGCAAAGGGACGGAAAGCCCCCACTCCACTATGATTTAGCATACTGATTGGGGTGCAATCTAGATTTGGGGGAGCAAACTGAGGGTGGAGGTGTAGTAAAGAAGGGGGAAAATCACGATTGGCAAAAGTGCCTGGCACCCCACCTTGCCGATGGTACATAGAGGCAAAGGTATAGGAACCGTTGGTGAATGGAATATGCACGTCCTTGTCTACTGAGACAGGTACACCAAAGGGTCGTGGCTGCTGACAAGGGATGGAAGCATCGCGGCTGGCCTCAGCCGTGGACGCCAGGACCATCAGTGCTGGGGATGCCAGCGGGTTGGGGAGGTAGGATGAGTTCTCCATCTTGAAGGCTGCCCGGTGTAAGTCCATCGGAGTCTCTTTCTTAGGCTCGTGTCACACAAGAAGCAGTCTTCCCTGGGAGGGAGGCCGAGCGGCACCTTGGATCAGGGCAGGGAATATTACTGGGGAATCATCCCCTTCTAAGACCTGCGGAAACAGCAAAGAGAAAAAAAGAGGGGGGAGGAAGGTCAAGGGGGGAGGAAAAAAAGGGAAACCCCAAGTGATCGAAACACCATCCTTCTGGCTTACAGATGCTCGGGCAAGAGACACCACAGGCTTTAGGAGCCAGTGGGCAGCAGCATCAGACCATTTTCATTCAGGAAAATCAATAGACAACTTACTGTGTTGTACGCGTAGCTGACTTTGGTCCCTACACGTTCCGGGTGAAATGCGCCTGAGCCCAGCAAAGGAAAAAAAAGCATAAAACCTCCAAATACAATATTCCCTGAGCAAATGAGCTTTGGAAGGCCAAGTCACCCAGTAGATTAGGTGGGGTCTATATTTTAAAGGGTTTCCACCTGCACACACCTCTCATGGCAGCCCTGATGTTCAAACAGAGGCAAGGTTCTACCTATATGACCCCCCACAAACACATTCTCTCTTCATCTCCCCTGACAACACCCTGGTGCTGAAAAATTCCTAAATCAAGCACATCTAGACCATCTGTACATGCTAGTCGGTACGAATTGTACGTGTGGATAAATCACACACATTGGCACATACATCAACACACATCTTCATGTATCATCTAAGGCTATTTCCAGAAAAAAGTGCTATGTGAAGAGAACAGCAATATTATCTTTGACGCACACCCCTCTCTAATCATACAGGTTTTCTCTTTTCTGAGAAGGAACAAAACCTTCATCAGGAAAATGCCTGGCATCTCCGACAATATTTAACACCATAATGGGTGCCTTTGGCATATGTTCTCTAGAAGCGGCTGTCTTCCAGGGGCAGCAAAGAACGGATCGGTAATTTTAGTTACTAATGCACTCGCTCTTAAGTAGATTTGTAAACAGCCTTGAATTTGCCATTAACATTTGGAGTAAAATGTTAACAAAATTTCTGACGTATTTTGCTCTGCTTATTGGGCCCAGTCACAGTTGATGTCTGATAAAGACCCCTGGAACAAACTGGAGTTGGGAGAGACTTCCTTCAATTTCCCTTTTAAATTTAGGTTGTACATTTCCATAGCCACTGATTCCATTTCAAAATTTATTTTGAGTGGGGGGTTGGGGAATGGGAGAAGGGCTATATATCAAAAGTCAGGATAACATAAGATGAGTACTAGAATTTACTAGCTTCAAAAATATACATTAGACAGAAACTTAATGAAACTCAAAGTGTAACCAAAAATCACCATCTGCTACAAATTATAATCTTTCAATCGAGAGTCATTGCTCAAATAAGAATTTGCCCCCTCCCTTAAAAAAAAAAAAACACCTAGATAATGGAGTATCTTTGGTATTCCCTCAAATAGAGAAGCCTCAGTTAAACTGTAGATGAATCCCCTTGGCTTAATGCAGTGCAAAGAGAGTATTTCCTTTTCTCATCCTGTAGCAGACGTGTCAATGACTGTTATTAATTGGGAAGATGAGTGCACACCATCAGACTGCTTCCTCATTTGGCATCTCTCCTTATAGACATCATTGCTAAATTACCAGATTATGTATCTCACATTAACGGATTTTTCTCTCTTCCAAATTTTAAATAACTTTCCTGTCAAGTTATAGCAGTGCAGGGAATGATCTGCCAAGGACAGCCAGTTAGCCTGACAAGTCTGGTCTGGGAATCCTGTTCTTGGCTGTTTTCAAGTCAGATTAATGGTCACACAACATGGACGCTCTAAAGTGGGTCCAGCGCTGTTCCAAGGGTTCTAAGCAGCTCTTCATAACAGAAATAACTAACTACTTGTCTCTCAACAAGCAATATTACATGAGGCAAGCAGGAGAAAAGGACAAACATAATACACCGGGGGTGGGGGGGATGAAGGGTGGAATGTTGTCCCCCCAAATAACCAATTGCCCAGAGAATTCACTTTCTGTTTTTACTTCCTGGATCACCTCATTATGTTAAATGAGTTTCATAAATTAGTAATCTGGCGACAGCACCGGACACTCCAACAGAACACGGTGAATCACTCAAACCTGGTTATTCATTTGAAACTTCATTATACTGAAAATAAATCAACAATATTTTTCCAGGCCACATCTCTTTTACTCCACTGTGTGGGCGTTGGTCTCTGTGGGGGAAGGGGGAGTGTGTTTTTTTTCTTTTTCCTTTTCTTTCTTACCTCCTCCTCACATTAACAACTTGTATAGATGAGGCTTCAGCAGACCACAGTCATTATGAAAATCTATAGTTAATACACTCCCAATGTCAAAATGTCATGGGTTTAAACACAGAACCCAAAATAAGAAAACTAACTGACCCTCTTAATTAAAAAAATATGGATTGGAAGATAATCAGCTTGATGGAGCATTTGGGTGACTGTAAAGAATCAGGCAAAGGGAAAGTAAGTAACTGTTACTTTTCTGCCTCTATGCTGATTTTTTTTAATTTAGCACTTCGTGCAAATCCAGATTAAAATAACTCCAGCTATTGATCCGAGCAGTGGAATTGACATTAATTTTAGTTCACTTCTCACTTTGCAAAGGGATCAATAGGAAGTAATAACAGCTGACATCCCCGCTGAAAGGAGGAGAAAGAAGGGCTGAAGACAGAAATCGAAAAGCAACCAAATAAATCATCAGCTACTTTTCCACGGCATCAAACTCCAAACAGATTGCAAAAAGTCTTTGTTGAATTAACTAAACAAGGAGGAGGGATCAATCCACGAAGCTAAATAAATTGTGTGGCAGGCAGTGAGGTTGGACGGAGGGACCAACAAATATTGAGTTTTAAAATTTTCAAATCCTTGACGTGATGGGTTTGGTTCAGGTCTGTATGGGTGGGAGTTTGTTTGCTTGTCAAATCACACACCCGACCCTGGTTTAAAGTGATTACAAAACGCCAGCTAACTGAATAATTAGTGAGATTACTAATTGCGCGGTTAAACATGCCAGAACCAAGACAAATGAAACGAAGAAACTGGCGTTTGGAACGTGAAAATGTCTGAAGCTGAGCTGATGAGCAGCGCTCCGCGCTCTCCGGCGCGAACTAGCCACTTTCGCATTGAAAAACCGAAAGCCAGAAAGAAAGTCTCAGAGAGTGGGCAATCTCCCACCCCGGCCTCTGACCATCCCTGTCCAGGGTCTGGGCTTCCTGACCCGCGCTGGGATCCGCGTAGAAGGAAGCGGCGCTGCTGCTCCTGCAGCTGGGAGCCAAACCCACTTGCAAATGACTGCCACAAAGAAAAGCTGCAAAGCCTCTTTCCCGGAGCCCTAGCTCTGAACGCCCACCAAACTACGACTCTGCTGGCAATTAAAACGCACACACAACACTCCTCTGCTTATTACAACAGGTGACATTTTTGTGGTCTCTGAATAGTTTCCAAAACCCAGGAATTAAAATAATAGAACAAATTAAACGATATTTTTCCTTTGCATAAATAAACTTTTAAAAAATTAACAGGCAACTTAAAAAGCAGAGAACAATGGGAAATGGGGCCAGGGTAGTGGGGGGTTGTGAAGAACTCAGGAAAGAATTTTTTTTTTTTAAGTTCACAGACTTCTTCGCTTGAAGAGAATTCCCGCACACCAAATGCCCAGGGGGTATTTGGAAACACCGCTCTAACAGAAATTTTACCACCATATGCAAGAGCTCAGGAAGCATAAGCTTAACACTATTCCAAAGACTGGGGCCAACGCCTGCGATTCAGACGTGGCCGGGTATCGGTCCCAGATTTGGACCCCGACCCAGGCCGGGCTTGGCCAACGGGTGCGAATCCGAAATAGCCCGGCCTGTCGAAGGGTGCGGGGCTGCGGGGCTGCCAGCTCAGCTAAGCGGGTGTAAAATTCAGCCGGTAGGAGTCTTAGCCAGGGAAAAGCAACTCTTTTAGGGAAAACGGAGGGAGAAGAGGTGAAGGCGAAACCTGCAAAAACTTGGGGCCAACGCAGGGCCGAGCCCACCACTCCTTGGCCTGACCTCTCCCTCCAGCTCTCGGCTGCCATTGCACAAAGAATACTTTAGGTCCCAACAACCTCCGCACGAAACAAGCTACTAGTAACTTTGGGGAACCAGGGCGCCGGCCAGGGAAGAACCGACAAGTGCAAGGAGCCCAGGTCCACAGCCGGGCAGGGCCCGCCGGACAGGGGCTGGGGGAAGGCTGCCTTCGATCAAAGTCCAAGGACCTCGTGCCCCTGAACAACCCCGCCCCGTGGGTCACCCGGGTCTCATCCCTGCTCGCCACCGCTTCGGCGGGCAGCCACCGGGCTCATGGATTCTGGCGCTCCGGTAAACGCGGGCCGGCGCGGGGCAACCGGGCCCTCCCAGTTCCGGGACTGCGGGCCTGGGGTGAGGGAGGGAGAGTTCTGCCTTTCCCGCCGACGCCGTCCGGCCGCCGCACACGACGCAGCTCGCAGAACAGGTGTGTGTCCCCGCTCGCTGGGCGCCCGGCCCCGGCCCCGTCGGTCACCAGCGGGGCGGCGCCGCCCTGTCCTCGGCCTTCCCCCACTTCGCTCCGGATCGCAGCGAGCGAACTCACGCCACTTTTGCCGGCTTTCCGCGGGCCAGGAGGGATGGGAACGGAGGACTCCCGCATCTCTTCCTCGACGCTCTTTCTGCCTTCCCCCTCGGCTCCTTTTCCATTTTCCGCAAGAACCCCCGAGACCGGCAGAGGAGGAGGCCGGGCATCCCTGGCTGCTCTGCTCCCTCCAGTCTGACCCGCCGCTTCCTCACTGCCCGCCCCTTTTTTCCTCTTTATTTTTCCTTTCTTTTCCCTTTGCCCCTCAAGCCGAGTCCGGAGCGGGGTCTGGAGGCGAGACGTGGCTGGTGGGCATCGCGGGCAGAGAGCGACCGAGTCCTCCCTCTCTGCTGTTTCTGGGGCAGGGAGGCGGCGCAGGCCACAGACCCCGGACGGCCCGGCCCGGCCACGCCAGGCAGGGCTGAACCCCACACCGAGCGCCCCCGCCCCATGCACCCACCCGGTGCGACGCGTGCCCGGCTCGGGGCCCGGGCCCTGGCCCTCCACTGGAGCCACGACCAGGGCCCAAAAAAAGCAGTGCGTTCCGAACGGGAAACGAGAGCTTTTCCTCTGCCTCCGGGCAGCCGGAGCCCCCGCTACTTCGGGGCTCCCGCGCGCCCTCGCCGGCTGGGGTCCACCTGGGCCTCGAGCTCTTGAAGGGGCTCGTGGAGCAAAGGACGGACCGGGCATCCCCTCGGATGGTCTCACCACCGTAGGCGGCCAAGCCCGGGGGGCCACACGGAAGCTCTCCGCCCAAGTTTGTTGTGCCCTGGAAGAAAAGGCTTTCCCTTACAAAGCACAAAGGCGAAACGCCCAGGCCGAGCCCTGAAAAGCCCGGGGCTGGGGAGGGGGGCCGGCCGGAGGCTCGGGACCGCGGTGGCGGGGCCCGGCTCCGGGCGGAGAAGGTCGCTCCGCAGGGATTGACGAGCACGGCGGCGGTGGCTGCAGGACGGCAGCGACCTGCGTGCTCGCTGAAAAGTTTTGTTCTCAAGTCGAAGAGAAATTGTTACTCTTTAAGGCAGGTCTAAGATTAAAATAAAACTACAAAAAGAGCCACGCGCGGCTGTCTATACGGCGGTCCTCCCGCCCGGCTCCGTACAATCGCGGGGCTAGAGTCCCGACCCCGAAAATCCCGGGAGACCCCCCCACGGGTCCGGCTGCTCTAAGGCCAGGCCGGTCCAGCCGGGCGGAGCAGGGAGTTTACCGGTTGCGTTTAGAACGGTCCACCTCAGTGCCAGCACCTGCCTCCTTCCTGCGCGCCGCGACTCCCCCCACCCCCACCGCCCTCCACGCCCTTCACACCCGCCCCCGCTGGGAAAAAGTGAGCCGAGCACCCGGGGGCCCGAGGCTCCCAGCGGTGCGCGGGGACCCAACCGGGCCGGTGGTGCGCTATGTGGGGGCGGTGGGGAGCCTCCTCACTAGGATCTCCCCTTCCCCATCCTGCCCGCCGCCTCGGGCTCCCCACTGAGCACCGCCCGGGCCGGGCCCTGCCGGAAATCACCGCGGGGTACCCGGGGGAGCCCGGCGACAGGGCTATCTCCCCATCGACCCAAACAAAGTGGGAACGGGGCTTATTAAAAGATGGAGAAAAGAAGTCCTGCTTCCCTTCCCTGGCTGTCCCCTCACCCTCCCTACTTGTCCAATTCCCGCGTCTGGTCCCTCCCCCTCGCACCCCCCAAATAAAACACATTAAGGAAAACTCAAGACGGAAAGTTTGAGCGAGGCAGCGCACGGAGCGCGCAGGGCACCGACGCCGGGAGGCACCGTCGCGGAGATCTGAGACGCGCCAGCCCGGGTCCCAGCCCCTGCCCCGGTCGGGGGGAGCCGCCCGAATCCCTAGGAAACGGACCCGGAAAGTTAGGTTCCCGAGCAACCCGCCGCTCTCGCACCCACCCCTCTGTGTACGCGCACACACCCACACCCCTTTCTGGTCTCCATACTTGCCGTGGAAATTCCTTGGGAGAACGGTCGCACTTTTCAGGACACGGAGGGAAGGAGGCAGTGAGTGTGGTGCATGAAAAGTCCCGGGTGCGCAGAGCCGGCGGAGGCAGCGGCGGCGGCGGCGGCGGCAGCGGCAGCAGCAGCAGCAGCAGGCGGCTGGCCCCGGGTTTGTGTTCGCGAGCTGCCTGGGATTGCATGTACAGATCAAGAGACTCGGTTGGTGTGAGAGAAGGAGCAGTGCTGCCTCTCAGCGCTGGCTCTAATCAGTGAATGAGCCTCCACTCTCCCAGGGACTCGGAGACACACACACACACACATACACACGCGCGCGCACACACACGCACACATTCTCTCACACTCACACACATACAGGCACTCTGAGCACTGAATACATTAGGGCACTAAGGGACTCTGGGAAATGGAGTCCAGACCCAGGGCACTCCTGGAGAACAGACCTGCCGGCCCTCACGAAAGAGCTCGAAAGTCTTGGGGTCGCCGGACATTGTGGTAACTGAAGAGAGCTCTTGCTTTTGTTCACATTTCCCCCTCATCACACCCCCCTCCCCCACCCCGAGAGATCTCAATGGATGGTTTGGTGCTCTTCTTCCTTTCTTGAACCAAAAGACTGAGAGTAAATGGGTAAATCTTGAAGGCTGACACCCACAGCAGCTGAATGCCCCCCAAATCCTGGCTCCCTCATGAACTCTGCCTTTTTCCAGAAAAATCTTACCTACTGCTTTGTTCCTGGAATGCTTCTCAGGGTCTTTGCCTATAACAATAAGGTAACAGATGAATATAAATAAAACTACAACTTTTAGAGACGGTGGAGAGGGCCTAGTTTAGCACCAGGATCAAGAATTAAAAATTTTATTGGTATTTATATTACAGTTCTTTTTTTCAAAACATTTTATATCATTTTTTTAATGCACCAAGGACAGAAAGATAAATAGGGGGAAATGGATGGAGAACTAACATTTCCTGAGTGTCTTCTAAGAGCCAGGTTACAGGACTAAATGCCTTTACATAACCTCATTTAATCCTTAGATTAATTCTGGAGACAATATTATCATTATTTTATATATAAAATAGGAAACTGAGGTTGAAAGGGTTTTTGCAATTTGCCCATGGAACATGGTTAACAAGTCTAGGATAGCAGGTACTCCTAGCTCTGAAAGCAAAGCCCAACCAAAGTCTAATCCTGGTTTAGGAAATCATTCCTTTGTTTATGGCTCAGTTTCTGAAACCTCAGATTTCCCATCTGAAAAAAAAAAAAAAAAAAGGGGGGGGGGGGGGGGGGTAGGGTACATACTGATAATCCACTCAGCAAAGAACCACATAGGATTACAAACTATCTCTCTAAAAACAGAGCCCTCAGAGTCTCTTGCTTGCTATTACTGCATGGTCCTTTTTTGTTACGTTTAACATTAAGGTAGCATCTACACGTCATGTATGTTTAGGTGTACACGTGTGGCTTGTATTTCAAATTCTTAATTAGCAGCTCTAAGTAAATGGTTGATTTGATCAATCTAGAGTTCTATATTATGACTATTTCTGTATCTGTAATTCATAGGATTAGGGTTGTTTGTTTAGGAGCCTCTAAGTCTTAATCCACATTTAGTCATTCATTCACAGCAGCATGTATTGGATTAGGTGCTCTTCTTCCCATTAGATTATTCTTTCCTCCTGGACTATAAGCTTCCTGAGGGCAAGAGCCATTTTTGTTTTATTCAACATTATATCCTCAGTATCTAACAGTGGCAATCTTTTAGTTGAATGCATACATAAGGATATAAAAATAAAATGAACAAATAAAATTTCTGCCCCCAAAGAGCTCACCATCTGGTAGAGGAAACTAGAGGCAGAAAACAATTTGACGGCTGCTATAATTGGGATGACCGTGTAATTTATTGGTGTGAGACAAGTCTGATAGTGAAAAGGAGCAATATTAGTAATTATGCTGCGATGGCCAGTGTGAATAGGGACCATCCTCAGCTGAGCAGTTTGGATGGTCACCCCAGCTATAAGGGGGTGTTTCATTCATTCATTTAACAAGCGTCTGTTGAGAATTCTCTTGTGTGATATGTTGAAAGAATTATAAGCCACTTGATTTCCCTAGAAATTGAAGTATGAGGCATTGAGCAGCAAGAGATAATCAGGACAAGTGGGGCAAATCACAAAAGGCTATGTATACTAAGTTAAGGAAAGTGGACTTTATCCTAGAACTGATGAGAAACCCCTAGAAGGTTTTTCAGGGGTGTGACATGGTAAGATTTCTGCTTGAAAAGAGTACTAGTTACTGGGTGAGTGTGGTAGAGGTTAGACAGGAGGCAGGAAGACCAGTTAAGAAGTTCATGACAGGTAAGTCAGTTGGGATCTAGTAGGGCCTGAACCAAGGTACTGAGGCAGTGAATGGAGAAGAGGGGACACATTGCAGTGAGATCTAAAGGTAGGATCAACAGGATTTAGGGGTGTCTGGTTCCGTCGGTAGAACATGTGACTCTTGATCTCGGGGTTTAAGTTTGAGCCCCACATTGGGTGTAGAGATTACTTAAAAAAATAAAAAAAGATAGAGGTGCTTGGGTGGCTCAGTCAGTTAAGCCTCTGACTCTTGATTTCAGCTCAGATCTTGATCTCAGGGTCATGACTTTGATCTCAGGGTCATGAGTTCAAGCCCCCTATTGGGCTCCATGCTCGGCGTGGAGTCTACTTAAAAAAAAGACAAAAGGATTTAGCCACTTTCTTTTTTTTTTTTTTAAAGATTTTATTTTATTTGAGAGAGAGAATGAGAGAGAGAGAGCACATGAGAGGGGGGAGGGTCAGAGGGAGAAGCAGACTCCCTGCTGAGCAGGGAGCCCGATGCGGGACTCGATCCCGGAACTCCAGGATCATGACCTGAGCCGAAGGCAGTCGCTCAACCAACTGAGCCACCCAGGCGCCCCTAGCCACTTTCTATGGTAAATGAAGCAGAAGGAAGACCCTATATAAATCTGAAATAGGATTTTATTATTTATAGGACAAGATGCTATCAGTACTTTAATGTTCATTAGTAGCAAAAGGCTTCCTCAGATCAGCTTCCAGAGTTCTCATAAATCCGGTGGACATTCTCACAGGTAGATGATATAGATAAGAAGCTCTATGTCAATCATCAAGCCAAATATTTTTAACTGCTACCATATTCAGTGCTCTGTACTATGATGCAAGTACTTAAGAATTAGATGAAATAATGAAAAAATTAAATCCACAAAATCATAGCAAAACTATATAATGCAAAATTGAATATGTTATACCTCACGAATTCACGGGTCATTGTCCAGCAACCTCAGGTATCCAAAACACAATGGACCAGGAAATAAGCAAAAGGGGTCCCTGAATAACCAAAATAAACATTACAAAGTCCTTGCACTAAAGTTAACACATTTTACTCCTAGGAGAATTCCTCAAGCCTTCACTCAGAGCCGATTTACTCTTTCTTAGGTACAATTCTAATAAGCTTGATTATTTGGCTTTCCCATTCACAGCTGATTAAGATCGTCAAATTAAAAGGGGGCAGCCATTAACAAGAAGGAGATAGACTTGGATGTACTGACATGCAAGTATACCTATTGTATATCGTCAAGTGGGAAGAAAAGCAAGTCGTATAACAGCGTACAGCGCATGTAGAGTGATTGGATATTTGTATGTACCCAAGTATGAACACATATCAACAGAAATGACCTACAGGGATATACATTAAACTGCCAACAATAGTTATGCCAGGGAGTGGGAGTGGGGATGTGGGTGAGTGATGGGGGGAGCAGGAATGAAGAAGGGACTTTTTGCTTCAAATGCTTCTGTTTGTGTTTCAGTGAACATATATTAGTTTTGTAATTTTAGTATCCATTAAAAAGCATATAAAAGGAGTAAAGGGCAATGTGGTTAGAGCAAACATACCCACAGCCAGAAGCGGTGACCAATATACAAGAAGCGAGCACAAGAACTCAAAAACCAGAAAAGGATGGAGTTCTTCAGTGTGGAAGCAAAAAGCCCTGTCCCATCAGCGGCCCCAGAGGATGTCACAAATTCCAGACCAGCATAACCCTAATGCTTTCAGGGGAAAGTCATCAAGGAACACATTATGCTTAGTATATTTTACTTACGAGAGCAAGCAAGTATGTAAAAACTTAGAAAAATAAATTCCCACCCAAAGCAGAGTTTGATACTTTAGGAAGTAAATTTCAGTTGTCTGGAAAATACACATTCATGGAACACATCATTCCCTGAAAATGAGAAGTAAAGGAGATATTACTTTAGGTAAGAGCAGAGGTGATGCAGAGTAAGGAATGGTCCATATAAATAACATTCAACAGACATTTATTGTGCCAAACACTAAGGACACAAAGATAAATTTTAAAATAGCCTAACCCTCCTACACTGTTGGTGGGAATGCAAGCTGGTGCAGCCACTCTGGAAAACAGTATGGAGGCTCCTCAAAAAGTTGAAAACAGAGCTACCTTACGAACCAGCAACTGCACTACTGGGTATTTACCCCAAAGACACAAATGTAGTGATCCGAAGGGGCACCTGCTCTCCAATGTTTATAGCAGCAATGTCCACAATAGCCAAACTATGGAAAGAGCCAAGATGTCCATCGACAGATGAATGGATAAAGAAGATGTGGTATATATATATATATATATACACACACACATATAGCAGTATTCCATACTACTCAGCCACCAAAAAAAACCCACGAAATTTGCCATTTGCAACGACGTGGATGGAACTATGGGTTCCATTGGGTATTATGCTAAGTGAAATAAGTCAGTCAGAGAAAGACAATTATCATACAATCTCACTGATATGCGGAATTTAAGAAACAAGACAGAGGATCATAGGGGAAGAGAGGAAAAAATGAAATAAGACGAAACCTGACAGGGAGACAAACCATAAGAGACTCTTAATCTCAAGAAACTAACTGAGGGTTGCTGGAGCGAAGGGGGTGGGAGGGATGGGGTGGTTGGGTGATGGACATTGGGGAGGGTATGTACTATGGTGAGCGCTGTGAATTGTATAAGACTGATGAATCACAGACCTGTACCCCTGAAACAAATAATACATTATATGTTAATAATAAAAAAATTTTAAAGTAGTCCATCCCTGCCCTAGAGAAGCTTACAGTTCAGCAGCAGAGACAAATGAGGAAGCAGCTAGTGAGCAGTGCTGTAACAGAGATTCTGAGTAAAGGATGGCGGGAGGCGCTCACTCTACCTGGAACTACT